ACGGCTGAAAGGGCGAGCATGTTTGGTGGGATGCGGATTCGAACCCGCGACCCTCAGATTGTGAGTCGAGCGCCTTATCCACCTGGCCATGCCGGGCACCCTCTAGTAAAGTTATTGCCAACTGTTTTCTTTAGGGGTCATGTTGAACAATGACTTACGTAGATCTTTTAATTTAAGTTATGTAAGACTTGAGAAAATTTTGTTTGTTTGTAGTTAAGCACAAAGCTACACAATGAGCTATCTGTGCTCTGTCTACCCCGAGTATCGAAACCTGGTTTGTAGCAGTATAAGTACGCAGACCTGCCGCTGTGCCAATTACAGATCGCACTCTCTTAAATTTCTAGTAGAGAAGTTAGTAGGACGCTTAATAAATGGGAGGGGGAGAAAGAGAACACTGATTTCTGTCGGTACGGTTTTAGACAGAGTTCCATCTTCAGTTCTGTCAATAATATTTGTGAAAATCGTGAGCCTTTCCCTAGCTAAAAGAGTAAAAGCTTGCACGTTACAAAAATAGTTTACAAGTAGAAGGGTAGTAATCAAGAATACATAATCTACATAGAAATTATCCTCTTTTTGAATTTGAAATCGATATACTTCCGCACACCCCTTTTCTTGTAAATGCAACCGATGGCGCTAATATCAAGTGCGTATTGAAAACCGTTCAAGAACTTCACTTAGGACCAATTAATGCTTCGAGATCTACTACATATTTTTATGCATGGTTTATGGATTACAAACGGGAAAAACATAAAAAATAACAGGAAAGCTGAAATGAACAAAATTAGGATGAGGTATTTGATCCCAGAAAATTACAACATATGATATATTAGATGAACTCAAAAACATTGATATACTAAATACGACATACATACGAATCAACTAAACAAGTATGGAATTAAACCTTGTTATTAGTAAAAAAAAAAATGTACGATTTGACAAAGTTAATTATTATTCATTTTGCTTTAATTCAAAAAATATTTTTCTAGCTATTGTGGAACGTTTTAAGTATATTTAGTGTTCTAAGTTTAAAAACAAATGAATAAAACATAAATGCACATGTGTTAATATGTTTTCTTATCAGAAGAATATATAAACAGCATCATATATATATATATATATATATCAAAATCAAAAAATCAGAATTGCTTCAAATGTATAATTCTTTTCAAGTATATTTAAATAAATGTATGTTTTTGTTTCTTTCCTTGATGATAAATCTTATCTGTTTGATTTTGATTAATTTTGTATTTAACGTATAACAATCAAGTCGATTTCCACAAACGCACCAAAAAATTTATGTTCCCCTATAACCTTTCAGACGTATAAGACATCATAATTCCTGAAACAACTGTTACGTAGATCATAAAATAGTTTTACGCAGGCAGAATAAAGTTGTTTTGTGTCAACCTATGGGGAGAGGGGCATAACGTGCTCTCTCTATACTTTTCGGATTTCAAGACAATATTGACTTCACGAACTCGCACTTCCTGTGTATATTCCAAAAGATCGCTAGTTTCAAAAGAACATGCATGAGATTTCAATTGGCTCTTGCTGTGTGAAGGTTGAGTAGGAGATGCTTGCCGTTGGGGTTTATTCTGTGCTTTTGTAGCACCGCATGCTGTGTTCAACTGTTAAGGCTGACAACACAAATCGCCCGCTCTCATTATGTTGCGAGTTATATGTCATGCATGCTTATTGACCACCCCCTTGTGTGCTTGTTTGTACCCTAACACAGCATGCATGCCTGCTGTTTAGAACGTTTCATCAAAATGACGAACGCCGAAGACTTATATTACATCTGTGTCTGTCCGCTAGAATAAATAGGGAGTTTAAATATTAGGTGATTGTTCATTACTCGAAATAAAACTTTAAGCTACTATTTATTCTTAAACCTAAAACTTAACTGTTCATTATTAGAGCTAAAATTTGAAATGACTGCTTATTGTTAGAGCGAGTTAGAACCTTAAGTGACAGTTCAACAATAGGGCTAACACCTTGAATAAGTGTTAATTATAATCCTTATTGCATCGATTCTTTAAAATTGATCCTAAACGAATTTTATATAAAACTTTCATGAAAGTTCTTACCTTAGTTCGATTGCAGTTGTTTTTATAAATGCCATGGTAAAATAAACAGTTTCTTTGCTAACATATGTCATGTTTTAAGCCATTTTTAGTGTAATTAAGAAACAAATAAATGTAGTCCTTTTTTTTTTTTTTTTTACTTGTTAGCGTTGATTATTAACTGAAATTTAATAGTCATGTGATTGTTTAATGTGATTCCATAAAGAGACGAAAGACTGTTTTTGTGAGTATGAAACGAAATTAGCTCAAGATGCTAAGGAAGAGACTACAATCTTTAAACACCACCGATGGTAGATGAGCAGGTTGTTCGAGTGAACCTAACGGATTTCGTTATAATTTTAAACCAAACTAGTTGTAATTAGGTAAAACTAACCCTGCGTTTCTTGAACATTTTGTTTACAAATAAGCTGGAACAGATTTATGTTAAAATGTTTGATTCATCTTTATTTAGTCACAGGAGAATACCTTGGAAGATTTTTGTTACCTTGAAAAACTTCAGTTTGTTACCTAACAAGGTTTAATATTTTCGCAATCCTTTTAATTACTTGTTGAGTGCACAGCTGTAAAATGGGTTATCTGTACTGTACTCATCGCAAGGACCGAACCTCGAATGTTAGCGTTATAATTCCTCAAGCTTATCCTTGAGCTACCAAGGGGCCCGGCATGGCCAAGTGGTTAAGGCACTCGACTCGCAATGTGAGGTCGCGGGTTAGAATTGCT